GGGGGGGGGGGGGGGCGGGGGGGGGGTCCTGCCCGTGGCTCCGCTGTCCCCCCCTCGTCCTTGTCCCTTCCCCGGGCGGAGACCCCCGCGCTGGGGGGGGTCGGGGTGTCCCCGGCGGTGGGGTGTCCCCAGCCCCCCTTCCGCGGGGAGGGGACGGGGCTGGGGCAGAGCCCCCCGGTTCACGGGGGGGTATCGAGACCTGCCCACGGGGGGGTCTGGCAGCCCCCTGGGGACCCCGTCTCTGCTCCCTGCGGCCCCGGGCGCGGCCGATGGGAGGATGAAGATGAGGATGAGGAGATCTGCAGCTGAAACGTGCTTGGGGTTGCAGTTTATTGCGGAACCAGAACATATGTCCTGTATTCAAAATAGAGTTTGCCATCAAAAACTGCAGGTGTTTCCAATGTCAAATATAGTTAGTGAGATGTGTGCAGATGGATTTCCAAATTATTGTAGACTGTAAGCACTGAGCAGTTGCTACATGACAGGCACTGTATCTGCTTCCTTCCTGGTATCCTCTCATGCATCGTTTGTCAACAGTGTTTGAGGAAAATAAGCTGAGATGTACTCAAGAAGGGTTATTTGCTGATGATGAGCACAGCATTCTTATTCCTCTGGTATTACATCTGCTGAGAAAAAGAACATGTGTGTCTGAGGCTTCCCTAAGAAACTTCATTGAAGTGCTGTGCTACTGGAGGATGAAGCAAGCTTTTCTGTTCGGCAGCACTGAGTGGTCAGAGGCAAGAGCAGCCTATATTTATATTAACCTTTCAGATTCCTATTGCTGTGACATTGAGAATTGAAACTTTTTTGACATTTTTAGCAATCAAAAGATAAAAAAAACCTTGTCTGAAAGGGCAAGGATGGTGGAAGAAACTACTACCTGTCTTGAATAACTCCAACTGTCCTGGTGTTCACTCCTCAAACAAAGCTGTCTTCCCAACCTTTACCCAGAGCTGCTTTATATTACCATCACCAAATTAGCTCAGTGAGCTTCATCTTGTGATGACTTAATTATGTTATATTGACTTCTCAGGGAGCTGAAAGGAATATAATGACAATTTACCATAATGAATAACTGGATTGGGAAGCCAGGCCAGTGCAATAGCCATTCCCTCCTCTACCCTTACCCAGCCAAATCACTGTCACACATTTCATTTTCTGATGTGCATGTTTGTCCCTTATCAAGCTTTTTTCACCCAAAGAGGATTCCTCCTCAGAGGAGGAGCACACAATGATTAGCACCAAATGAAAAAAAGTGCTGTTTGTATTATGAGAATATTAAAGGGGAACTGTAATTTCTCAGCTGCAAGGAACACTTAAAGCAAATTACCTCGATTAAGAGAATAAGAATCAGGGATCTGCTTTAAATTTGATGTGTTGAAAAAACATTCAGATAGGATGCTTGGTATCTGTTTGTCATTGGGGGCTTAATATTTACTTCTGTTGATGAGACTTTGTCATGCTCTATTACAATTCATAGACTTGTGTTCCCAAATTTTATGCACCAAAATGCTTTGATTTATAGGGTATAAGTTCTTTTTCTCTGTGAATTCCTTTTATCTTGTCATAAATGTGGTCAGTGATGCTTATCTTATGATATTAGTGTGCCTCATTTAATTATATTGTCTTGCTCAAGAAGTGCACTTAGTTTGAAAGAAACTACAAATTATTAACTTTTGGTAAATGCACAATTCTCAGTAGAGAACTGTGATGGTTCCTCCTGCCGAGAGCAGCAGGACAGACACCGGGGCAGGATCCTGTGTTACTGTTGGGTCAGTAATGGCTCTGGTCCTTTCATTCTTCATGTGGGAGTCCCAGCTGCAGGTCTCGCCATCAGTCTCTGTGTTTGTTTTCCTATTCCCTGCTCCGTGGTGTCCCCTTCCCACCAAAAGCACCCACTGAAAACATGGAGCAGCCGGCTCGGAGCGACCGCAGGGCAGGAGCATCCCAGGGTGCCCACACTGGAGCTGCCCTGTACCAACCACAGCTGTGCTCCTGGGGGTCTGCTTCCCTGTTTATAGGGTCAGGGTGGTATGATTCCCTATTGATTACTTGATCTGTGTAATTACAATCAAAACTACAGGGATTTCAAGACTGATTGACTGCAAATTAGAAATCTATTGGCTTGGCTGGACTCCTAATGACCAGGATTAGGAGAGAACATGGTTTGGGTCTGCTTTTTCTCTGCAGGCTTCATTTTAGGTAACTGAAGATGTGAGAGGAGAGGTCAGTCAGGTGTTTAGCTTCTTCATCCCTGACGGCAGCTGTAC